CAGTTTAATAGATATTTATAATGCAACTATTATTGTGCTTAAAAGTATGGTTCAATAAGGATCCTCTAACTCTGTACGTGGAAAAGCTGGTAGTTGTTTGATTGTGATGAGATCTTTTAAATTTATATTCATTTTATATTTGATGCATAAAATAATGGGGATTGTTGATTTACTTTATCGAGCTTTGCAGCAAAAATCTCTTGACATCTTAAATGCAATGGATCTTGTATCAACTACTAAAGCATTGTTTTGAACTTTAAAAGATGCCAGATTTGATCCTCACCTTACACATGTGCAATCTGTTTGCACACAATATAAGATTGTCATATCACATATGAATGCTTCATATAAAAAAGCTACATGTTGTTCATTTCAGTAACAAAGATTAGTGATAGTTTACCAACATTATCATTATGATATATTTAGCTTAACAATATATTTTCAATTGGAAGAATTAAATTCTAGATTAAGTGAAGGGATAATAAAACTCCTTGTATTTAGCTTTGCTTTAGAAACCTAAAGTCAACTTTAAATCATTTAATGTCGATGTTATTTACAAACTTGCTAAAAAAAATTTATCTTGAAGATTTTAATGAATAAAATAACACCCTTTTTATTTTAAACCCTACCAAACTCTAGCTCAAGTGTGAAAGAATAGACTACTAAATGATTAAATTGCAAAAGAAACCTAATTAAAGATCAAAATTAAAAGATTATGACATGTTGAATTTATTTTAGCTAACTTGTTAAATCAACAACCCGGACAATGGATATGACCCTAATGAGTTAACCTAGCTGGACAATCAGCCTCTTTCCTTTTTCTTCCCTTATTCTTCTCCTAGTTAAACCTTGACTGGATCTCAACTGACCTTAAATGTTGAAGGATGAAACTTAAATACTAAAAGATAACACTAAAAAAACATTAGCCTAAAAATGGAAAAAATAAAAACAAGGAAACACACATGAATCTCCTATATCAGGATTAATTATCTAAACTCGCAACCCATAAAATTATAGACCTAAGCTCAATAAATAAGCTCAATTCCAAATAATTTAATGTTGGATCATAAAATCATAAAACAAATCTCAATTAAAAAAAATTTCCAAAGCAAAAAGAATTGCAACAAGAAAAAATAAGGACCAAAACACATAGGAAAAAAAATTAAAAGAGGATGACATTGTAAAAAAACTTCAATTATAAAAATCATCTCAAACAAAACTAATAATGATTAAAAGAATAAGAACAAAATGTGACAAATAAAAAATTGAAGAAGAATGAAAATTGTTATTTCTCATGTTTGGGTTCCCACATAAAAAAATAAAAAATTATATATATATATAGAAGAAATCTAAAAAAAAGTAATGTAAGCGAGAAAAGGATGCTGGAATGCCCATAAAATAGCTAGAAATTGGTTGAGGAGGTTCAAAAATATAAAAATTAAAATTTGACAGTATATCATTAATTGATGAAAATACTGTTGACAAAAAAAACTCAAATTGAAAAAAAAATATTCAAAATCATATGTTTATGTACTCAATTAAATTTTATCTAAGTTTTTAATTGAATTTATGCAAGGTTTAAATATAAGAAAAATTAATCTTTAAGTCTTCTTAGGCTTCTATTAGAAGAAATTAAAGTTCTAGAGTCAAATTATATTTTTTAAGAGTTGATTTGATCAAATCAATGGCTTAATTGCATAATTATTATAGTTTAAAGGTCACTTAGGGACTTGAATAAAAAAAATCTGAAATCAAGGACTAAATCAAAAAGGCGCATAAATAAAGGGGTTGAAAATGACCAAGTCAGGAGCTGAATTGAAGAAATTAAAAATTTATTGATCAATTGAGGGTCAATCGCATGAATCTAGAACCGAAAATTATCTTCCAAATGATGCTAAAATTAAGGAATCCAATTATAATTTATCCGGGGGCTTGATTATAAAAATACAAAATTCCAATGATCAAATAAAAAATATACATTTTGAATAGGAAAACAGTGTTGTTTTAGAGGGACTATTCATTATCTTCTTTAGGAGTAGATAGAGGAACCGTTTGAGCAACAAAAGCCACAAATTGCTTCAGTTATTCCCACGTTTGACAACTGATACCCCTCGCCACCATGATGCACGTTGGCCGTTACTATGTTCCTACAATAACACATGCATCCTCTAGCTATAAAAGCTAGAGGAGGGACCAAACTAGGAAAAGAGGGAGAAAGAGAAAGAAGAGGAGTACAAAGGAGAAAAAGAGGGAACAATAAAGGAGTAAAGAAAGCAGAGTGCCGAGAAAGTTTTGGAAAGGAAGGAGGTGAAAAGAAATGGAACATAGAGAGTAGAGTGCAAAAGAGGAAAAAACAAAGAGAGAAGGAGTGTAAAGGAGAGAAAGACCGAACGGCAAAGCAGAGAACACAGCACCACCGTCTTTATCTTTCCATAACCAGGTATGTTCACTTCCCTTCTCATGTCCTTGCAATAAAAATGACATATGTTAGTCCATAAAAAAAAAAAGCAAGAAAGTTAAAAAATCATTATTCTGCACTTTGTTAGCAGCCAAGGGCTTGCTTTCGTTTTTGCTATCTGTAAAAACGAGCTTGAACAGCATGCAGTAATTTAATTACCTTTGCACTATTCCATGCATGCATGCGTAAAATTTTACATATGCATGACTTAGTAAATTACCTTCGTGTTGTTCCATGCATGCACATGTAAAAAATTTTTGAATGCATGAATTAGTTGGGTCACTTTCAGCCAGTGACCAGGCTGGGGTGGTTAGGGCCAGCCCAACCACACAGGCTGGCTAGGTCCAGCTTAACCATATGGGCTCAGCTGGGTTTAGTCGAAAAAAAAAAGAAATTTTTTTTAAAAATCATTTTAAAAAATTTGTGATTTTTCTATAGAATTTTGCTTAGTATTGATTTGTATTTTTATATTATAAAAATATAAATTTAATATTAAAATACCTAATTTTTATCAAAATATCAAAAAAAAATGTTTTTTTTTATTTTCATGTATACGGCTAAATATCTCAAAGAAAAAAAAATCATATTATCTAAAAAAAAATGTTTTTTTTTTTCATGTATACGGCTAAGTATCTCAAAGAAAAAAAAATCATATTATCTTTCATACAACAAAAATTCAAAAATATGTATTGTCATGCATTTTGATTTTAATAACCAATTTATTAAAGTTACAAGAACTAGATCAAAATTTCAAAAAACATATTTTGTTTTCTTTTAATATTAAAGATTACAAGCTTAAGACGTATTCTCGATATTAAAATAATAAACATATACATACATATATATACATACATACATATATATATATATATATATATATATATATATATATATAGTTGGAATGGTTACATGTTTTCCAATAAGATAATAATCTTCTTATCAAGAACTTTTCTTAAACCATAAATAAACAAACAATTAAAAACCATAACAATATTTTAACATATATCAAATAAATAAACAATACAAGCTATCATAGGTAAGACATATTTGGAGTGTTAATACCTTTCATTTACGCAATCAGTCCCCGTACCCAATATCTAATACCAGTTACGGTTCCAAATGACTAAAATATTAGGTGATGACTTTTATTCCTGCTTTCCACGTATAAAAAACAAGAATTTTTTATCTCCTTATTTTTTCCAACTTTTCCAGAATACCAACAACATCTAGGATTTGAGAGTGGATTTTTTCACCGCAACGCCATATATGTGTGACAAAACTAAAACATAAATAAATATTGAATAATAAAATAAAATAAAAACATTATCTTAAAAAAGATAGATAAACCCATAAAAACTTGTATGAATCTTTTAAACTTGAGTTAATCATTCCAACTCTTACTTCAATCAAGAATATCAATTCTTGATATATTTGATATTAAATAATAAAATCATAAAAATAAATATAAAAAAGGTGCTAAACTTAAAGGAATTGTAAAAGAAAAATGAGAAATCATATAGAATATAAAATTAAAGGATGGAATTTCATAAAAAATTTCAATTAAAAAATTATTTAAAATAAATAAATAACAATTAAAAAAATATAGATTTTATAGAAAAAATTAAATAAAAATAAAATTGAAAAAAAAATCTAATTCTATAAATTATTTCAAATAAAAAATACTAATTAAATAAACATGGATAAAATATATATAAAAAAAAAATTAAATGCTAGTTTGAAACCCAGAAAAAAATCTATCAATGCGAACTCTAAGCTTAAAACACATCATATATCGACTTAAAAGGAATGGTTGGCTAAAATAAACCTAACCACATCAAGAAAGCTTGTAATTGAACACCAAACATCATTGAATGCGTTGTTTGAAAGTAGCAAAATCTCTCTACATGCGTCAACAATTTTATTTTTAATATTTTTATTTATTAAAAAATAAAATTATTCATTATAATACCCATAAAAACAAAAGTTAAAAAACAAAATAATCTCCTAGTAAAAACTTATTACAGCGTATAAATTCCTTTTATTATACAAATAAAATTAAAAAGACACAATTACCTTGAACAACAGTTGATTATTTTTTATTTTTAAAATGGGACACAATTACCTTGAACAGTTGATTATTTTTTATTTTTAAAATGTATTTTAATAATTTAATTGTGAAAAATAAATAGAAAAAAAATATAGTTGTCCCTAATACCACTGTGTACAAAGATTATAAACTTATTTAATATTATAATTACAATTACTTTTTAAAATATTTTTTATATTAAAATAATATTAAAAATAATAATTTTTTTATTATACATCTTATAACAATGTAAACACACCAAAATATTATTAATTTAAAATATAAAAAATCTTTCTTTTTAAAAAAAACATGCTCATTGATTTCTCATAAAGGCCAAAACATCACTGTAAGCCTAGCCCTTGATATTTTGTGCTTCTTATAAGAAAACAAAACAAAAGGTCACACGTGCTTAAATGAGCACACGATGCACGATCCACAGACAACACATCACACAAATTCTTCAACGTGGCATATCAAGAGTTTGCTTCCCCTATTATCAACGGCCAGGATCTAACAACATTTTATCATGCCTAGTTGACACATCCATTAGAGCCAAAGCATCAGATTCACAAACGATTCAACGGTCCGACACAAGTACAACCAAAATACTTTGCCTCATCTAGCATAAGAAAAAAACAAAACACACATTCCAGGTATATATTTCGACAAATTTGCGGGCCCCACAATAAAAACCTGGGGCTTGCCAGATATGCCCTACCACCTGGAGGTCCGGATTACTTCTCGGGCTGACCCGATCCATCTGAAGCCAAACGAGACGCGATCGCTGAGTGATACATCATATCGTGAAACGTAATGCCCTCCACTGTCTTCCTTCTAAGCCGCCTCGCTTTCTCTTCAGTGAACGATCCAAGGGCGAACCTCGATCTGGGGCGACCTGTTTCCTGATCCGAACCCGACACCCCGGATTCCTTATAGGGTATATAATCGCTTGTGCTGCCACCAGCACTGCCGCTGTTAATGTAATCCGGAGAGGAGGACCAGCCAAAGAGCGGGGCCCACCAGGTTGAAGAACCGGACTTCTTGCCATACGGTTCGGGTTTCCTGGAGGATCCGGATGATGCTCGGACAGGTGCTGGGAGAGAGCAAGCGAAAGCGAGTGTGGAAGCCATGATGAGAAGAAATTAATCCAAGTTTCTGATCTTGTTCTGGAGAGAGAAAGTGAAGAAAGAACTGAGAGTTTTAGAGATAGAAAGTGTTGCGTTGAAGAAAGCGAGAAGAATGGAGCGTGCAGCTGGTTTGGATAAAATTTCAAGGTGGTCGGTCGTGATCACCTGCGGTTAAATGTACGTATTATTGTGACCCTAATGGCTTCAAGGACGTGTACGGTATCGTTTTGATGGCTATGGTACGATTCTTAAAGCGTGTATGATTTGGGGTGGGCGTGGAGGGTTGTAGAGGATTAAAAGGCGGGGAGTGGTGGATAAGATTGGACACGTGGAGGGTTGTTGGAGTTGGGGGTTCAAATTTCGGGCTTTTTGCTTTCTCTTGATTAGATGGGCGCGCGCGCTCTTTTTCACGTCGTCACAGGAAAAGGTGGTGGTGACGTGCGAACAAAAGAGCTAATATCATAAATTATGCGATGCAAGAGTTTAATGCAATGTGGTTTGTCGTTACGTTTATCACGGATCATTAGTCTAGACTAGTGGAAGAAATAAAAACAATTAATGACAATATTGATGCTTTAAAAATTATAGATTATATTACTTTAATTACTCCAAGGATTTTTCTGTTTGAGACCCTTACTGGCACATGCTTTGCTGATTGTAATCTAAAAAACAATATTAAAGCGATGTTATGGTATTTTAAAAGTAAAAAAAAAATTATAACTTGAGTTAATATCAAAGAAGAATGAGAGATTACAAAATAAAAAGTCTGATATAATATGAGTTGGTGTAATAAACTTGTAATCTAGATCGTGAGGTTAAAATTTTTTTTATAAAAAATTATAAAAAAAAACTTAATATTTAATAAACTCAAAATTAAAAACAGAAATCAATAAAGAAAAGAGGTGTTAAAAAAGATTAAAAAAATTAATGTTAGCTTAGGGTTTATATCTTTTACTCGTGACCTGGGTCATAAGACAGGGATCACTATATCTAAAAAATAATAAAGTTTAATCCTTAACAATTTAATGTTGAAAGCTAAAAATTAAAAAAAATAATTAAAAAAATAAAGAATAAATTTGATATATAAATAATGTAAAAGCCTATCATCAATACAAGCTAGCATGACAAATATGTGACCCAGACCATGAGATTGAAATATTATCATAGAAAAAAATAAAAAAAAATAAAGATGTTTAATTTTTAATAAACCCAATATTGAATGATGGAATGGAAAAATAAAATCGATGAAAAAAAGTTACATGAAAAGGATTGATATCAATCCAAGTTGGAATTTTATACTTGTGATAGGGTTATCAGATCAAGATCATTGCAATAACAAAAAAAAATGCAATTTTATGCAAATCAAATATTAAAAAATAAAAGTTAAAAAAGATTTCAAAAAAGGAACAAAGGGAAAAAATAATTAAAGAATAAGGGTCAAAACTCATATAAAAATAAAATGATAAAGTATGAAATTAAAAATAATTTTTTTAAAAAATAATAATTAAAGAATGATGATCAAATTTGATATAAATAAATAAAACAAAATACTAAAGAATGAAATTGAAAAATAAAATAAAATAAAATAATATTAAAATAAATCAAAAGAATAAGGTTCATAATTGAAATAAAAATAAAATATTGGATTCCCCTTAATTTTGATTGGGTTGGCATGTTTGCAAGGGAGGAGAGAGAGAAAAAAATGCAATTGCTATTTAACCACCACAATATAGCTTGTATACACCACTTCCATGGATGAGCTTCCACATGATCTATTAGAAAAAGGAGAAAAAATCATCATTTTTATACCTCTTATACCCAAATAAAGTTAGAAAAAAATAAGGTGATATGAGTAGAGAAAATATAAATGAGGAACAAGGTGAGAAAAGACTATCAAATTCTGCCACAACCCGAAACATTTCTCCCACTACCCAAAACCATTTGGCTAAGAACTTAAACCATTCGATTGCTTCTAAAACAAACCCAAATCTAGTTGAAAGTAAGGATAAAACCTGAGGAGTTGTTGACATTGATTTTGATGTAATAACTGATGAGGATGATGATGTAATGTCCTGGGGCTATAGGGATTAGATTTGATAGCATAGAAATAAGAGATTTTATGGGGTTAAAAAGGGTAGGTTAGTTTTGCCATGAAGATGATTTAGGTGATTTTGGATATTGTAGCGCTATAGGTAGAAAGGGACTCTAATAAACTAAAAATTTATAGTTTTCAAGGTAGAAACAATTCTTAGACTTATTTGGAATGGAAGAAGAAAATAAATTGAATTTTTCATTGTTATTTTGTTTTGAGTAGAAAAATGTGAAAATTATGGCAATTAAATTTATTGATTATATTGTAATACGTGGAATTCGATTGTGACTTCTCGGTAGAGTAGAGAGATGGAGAAAGACCTATAGATATAGAGGTTAATATGAAAGTTTTGATGAGAAAACAATCCATACCAAATCATAAAATGTTTTATAAAAAAATATAAAGTTTAAATTAGGATTCTAATAATAATAAATAAATAAAATAATAAAAAATAATAAAAAATATAATTATTCAAGATAATATAGCAAAAAAATAGGAAGGTCTGTATGACTTCTTAGAGCATCTTTAACCGGAGAGGCAAATGGAGAGGTATATTTAAAAACGTGTCCTTTTAACTTTTGTTTTTTTATTTTACAATTTTAACGCAGCAGGCAAAAGAGAAGCCAAAATGGCTATTCAATTTGGAAAGAGCTATTTCTATAGGTTTCTGTAGAATAACTAAAATGGAATTAACGTTGCCAACGACTATTTTTATAGCCGAAAGAAACTTGTGTTTTTTTTAATCTTGTATTGTGCCTCACTCTTCTCTCAAATTTAGAAAAACAAGAATCAATTATTCTCTAGTTAATTAATAACATTGGTTGTGTTAATTAGTTGAAATCAAAAGGTATGCTTATTTAAAAACTTTTTATATTTTCTCTTTAATATCTCTTGATTTTGTAGATCTTTTGTTGTTAATTTGATATTTGTGATGATTGTTATTTTTTTGTTATTTTATGTTTTTGATATGGGTTAAGGAAAACAATTTTTTATTTATGTTGTTATCTTTGACAAAATTAAGAGGAAGTAATAATGGTAGCTGATATTGATAAAAATATAGATTGACATATTTAAAATTTATTTTTGATTGTCTATTTTAATTTGAGGTTAATTATATTTTATCTTGTTGAAAATGCAATTAAACCAGTATATCAATCCTCTTTTAGTTCCAAAAAATAATCAAATTGTAATGTTAGAACAAGTAGGATGTTGATGTAACTATATTATTCGATAGTTTCACCCA